AGAGTGTCAGGAATTGGACTAATGCTTACCTATGTTGTGAAACTAAGCTTTGAAAATTCCCATTGTCACATACCCTGCTACACTTACAAATGCTGACACTTATTCTCTGTCCCCACAGGTACGACTCTGGGAAGGATGGGTACATAGACCTAATGGAGTTGAAATTGATGATGGAGAAGCTGGGAGCTCCTCAGACCCATTTGGGCCTGAAAAACATGATCAAGGAAGTGGATGAGGATTTTGATGGGAAGCTCAGCTTCCGTGAGGTAAGGATCAGCAAAGATGTATTTCATGTGGAGCTGCGTAGCCAAGGCGGTAGCAGTCTGGAACATGGTCAGTGCAGCCTTCCTCTGAATTTGGCTGTGCTAGCTCTTCCTTCCCCTTTCTAATCTGGCCAAGATTTTTCTAAGCCTGAGGTAGCTAGATAGGCTGTGCGGTTGTGGAAGCATAGTCAGCAGGGCAGAGAAGCAGGCAGACTCTATTGCATAAAGCAAGAGGCAACTAAATGACAAGATGCAACTCATCATTCCTGGGGAAGTTTGCGCCAAATAGTTAATTCTATGAACAATATTGTATAAATCCTGCATATTTTAGTTGTCAGAATAATGCAGTATAATCAAGCCAGTTTGAGTTGCTTTGGTAACTTTATTTCTAAATACATGTCAACAAGTATGTCTGCAAGCTTGTTGAACTCTAGACCAAGCCCTGTGTATAATGTAGTTGAATGTACTTACCACAGCTATGAGCTGGATGGGAACAGTTCTCACTTCGGAGTGAGCATAAGTGAAGCCTAATGATGTAGCAGTTAAATAATTACTGTCAACTTGAGCAAAAGCGTCACCCAATATACTTACCTATTCCTTTTTTGGATGCCATGGCAGATGTTTATCAGTTGCAGGGAGTTGTCTTGTTTCTGGGATCTTTATTTGTTGCCCTGCTGAAGTTGTGTAGCCCTGCTATGCCTAATCAAAAGGGATTTCTATTGTCTCCACAACCAGGACTCTGACCCCTAAACTGTTCAGACCTGTAATTTTCAATTCAAAAGTGCCAAGAACTCTGGCAGCTCCTGTGCAAGAGGGTGTGAACTAAGGATAGGCAGCAGCTGGACGCTAATGCATACAGTACAGTGGGTAGGAAAGGGTATATGAGTAGACTAGAACTACTGCAAGGGTGTGCAGACAGCTGCTTGCTAGGCTGGCAGAGGACATGAACAGAGATAACCGAAGATGAGGAAAGCAGCAGCTGTTACTCGCATTGTAGCATCTCTGCGCTAGTGCGTACGAGTGTGCTGCACACTGAACATCAGTCTCTGTATCCAGTCAGGTGTCTGCCCCCACATCTACTGTGAGAAAGTCACTGCTGATAGTTGACCATGTAAGCTAGGTGATAACTAATTACTGCAAAACCTCTGTTCATCCAGTGTCAATGCCTGAGACATAGAGCAGCCTGGTGATATTTCGGTGGGTGCGTTGTGGAAAAAGTTGGCTGTTGTGAAATACAGGGAGCTCCTGTGTGGAGGAAGCTAGGGATGCAAAGTAGTTTAATCCAGGGGTGCGGAACCTTTCAGGGTTGGGTGGCCCTGACCCCCCACACACATGAAGCAGAGGCCACACACAAGTGAGAAGCCACGTTCCCCCCACGTTCCTCTTGCCCACCAGAGCCTAGGGGGGCCCAGCCTAGTAGATTTTATGTATTCCAGCCCTGCAGTGAGGCAGCAATGGGGCTGGAGCATGAACACAAGCTCCCCGATGCTGGGGTGGGGGGCTCTGAGCCTCAGGGGCAAGTTGAATCCTGGCAAGCTGGGGGCTACATCTAGCCCCTGGAACTGAGGTTCCTCACCCTGGTTTAATCAGTTAACCAGTTACCAGCTTAAACAGGGGTGGGATCTTGCTGGGCTGGAATGCTTCCTCCCTGCAGCAGATTGGGAGGTGGGAGGGGAGGAGCTGCTCCAGCCCCTGCCAGTTATCGCCCTTACCAGTTATGGTTGTTTACTGATTTAACCATTCGCATCCGTAGTACAAGCAGGAAAGCATTGTGTAGTTATTTAGACTTTGCCTCCCTATTGGGTTTGGACTCTCAACTCCTTTTGGATAACATCCCTAAGCCACATTCTTACAGCACATGCCTATTGCTCCCTCTATGTACGTATTTTGTGTGACGCATGCTGATCATCTGGCAGAATAGACTTATTCAAAATGAGGATAACTCCTGTGTCTTCGCTCGCTGTCCATTTCACTAAATGAAATCCCAGCATAGGTTGGAAGTGCTGGCTCAGTGTCAGCTACGTGCGCAGTCCTCTTGCCAGCCTCTGCTTAAGTAGTCTCTGGGGCATAAGACGTCAGATTTCTGGAAACCCCTCACCTAAATGCCCCCCCTTGTATGCTACTTTCTCACCAGCAGCCACTAGCGTGCACTGAAAATTAGCTTGTTGGAACAGCAAATGTGTCTAGGAACAATGCACTTGGCAATCATGCTGCCTGCTGACCCAAAACTGATAGTTGGACACTTGTCAGCAGGACATGGTACCAGCTGTAGCTTAACAATTTAAGAACACTGATGTCAAAACAGCAATACAAACATATTAGAGCAGAGTATTACTAATGCTTGCCAGAACCATGAGCAGAAAACAGAAGGACTGAAAATCTGTCTCTGAGTTTAGATCAGCAGTGGCTCTGGGCAGCGAAGAAAGCCTGCCCATCTTATGATAAACTGGCCTCTGGGGCTTATCTGTCTCCACAGATAAATTCTGGATAGTACCAAGGAATCTGGTGGAACAGAACACCAGGGCTATGTCTACACTGCACTGTAAAACTCGAAATAAGATATGCAAATTGTGTAGCCTGTTTTGAAATAAGTTTTCAAAATTTGGTGCTGTCAGCACTTTATTATGAAATTTGGTGCTGTGCAATTTCAAGATACCCCTTAACCCTTGTGGAATGAGGGTTACTGGGATGCCGAAATAGCATGCCCGTTATTTTGTAAAATATTTTGAAATAATGGGTGGCTTGCAACAATGCAGGGTAGCTATTCCGTGATACCTCTAGTATCCCGAAATAACTTCGTGTGGCCATACCCCAGGTCTGTGGCCATAGGTGAGACTAGGAGTGAAGACAAGAAATGGAAGCTGCCTGGATACTAGGCTGAGATGACTAGCTCTTCAGATGGTAACTTTCGGGAATGTGTAACTGTTTGACAGGCAAGGGTCCCTCTACATCAGATATGTTGCTTCTTTGATTTTCTGTTGAGGTCTGGGTTTGCATGTTGGTAGACTAGAAAACATTGTTGGTGTCTTAGACCCTACTGCCACTATTAAAATAGATTGATATAGCCTCCTATGAGGGTGCATGTCCTTTCTATCTCAAGTTCCCTCGTTGCATTGTTGCCACAGGGCAACTTCCTACTTCCAGCTTCCTCAAACTCTGCTGGCGTAAGCAACCCTCTCTGTTCAGTCATAAGGACTGTTCTGGGGGACTTCTGCCAATACTTCAAATACTGTACACAGCAGCTGGCTCTGTTGCACCATGTAATCAGATGCAAAATGATGGTGAAGTAGTTAAATTGTTTAAACTCAGAAATCTTACTACTGTTAAAACCCCTACACATTGGGCAAATGAGCCTCACCATATCGGCCACACTTTGTGGCCATGTCCTGGACCAGAATACTTGCTTAGCTATCTGCCCTCAGCACTTACCTAGCTGCAAATGCATTTGATTCTGTTTTTCTGTATAATCCATAAGCATTATTTGGTAGCAAATTGTTCTGCGTCTCCCAGTGTGACAAGTGAGGTGGAATCCATTCTTGCATTGTCCAACTGTGTCCCTTCTGCTGCTAGCCAGCAAGTAGCTGGAAAGGAACTTTGTTACTATGTTAGCCGTAATGTTCTCTTGGCCCTTGAGAATAATCTTGGCAAACCTTGGTGAAAATGAGCATGCTAGTTTATTATTTGGTAGCAAATTGTTCTGCGTCTCCCAGTGTGACAAGTGAGGTGGAATCCATTCTTGCATTGTCCAACTGTGTCCCTTCTGCTGCTAGCCAGCAAGTAGCTGGAAAGGAACTTTGTTACTATGTTAGCCGTAATGTTCTCTTGGCCCTTGAGAATAATCTTGGCAAACCTTGGTGAAAATGAGCATGCTAGTTT